TAACGTCGTGTTGCTCGGATGTCCCATTCTTTTATGCCAGAGATCTTCGTCGGCGCGATGTCCGGGTGAGCGTCTGTACAGATCAGAGTTGGAATAAAAACTGGCGGTGAGATTCGTACTTCGGTGAACTTCTCGAGGAGTTGGATTCAGCTGCTGCGCAGGAGTCGGTGGGGTGTCGTCGTCGATTGGGGCTGGTGCAGTTGAGGGACCCGCGATTGGTGCCGATGTTGTCTCTGCTGCTGCTGATGTTGTCTCTGCTGCTGCCGATGTTGTCTCTGCTGCTGCCGATGTTGTCTCTGCTGCTGCGGATGTTGTCTCTGCTGCTGCCGATGTTGTCTCTGCTGCTGCCGATGTTGTCTCTGCTGCTGCCGATGTTGTCTCTGCTGCTGCCGATGTTGTCTCTGCTGCTGCTGGTTGTTGAATCGTTGCTAATGCTCTTGTTCGCTCCGCCTCAGGAATGGTGTGCGAGTACCAGAAGCCTTCGGGACTGAAGTCGGGGGGCGAGATCCGGTGGATGTGTCCAGGAGGTGAAGGTGACGATCCCGTCGCTGTCAGCTGTGCCAAGGTCTGGGACGAAGTCGAGGACGAAGACGTTGTTCTTCAGGACTGCTTTGCCGATGTAGAGACCTCCTCTTCCGTGGTACAACTTGAACTCCTGAGTGGTGCTATCTGCTTCGAGGTGGATGCCTTTCGCCATCAGCTGGCTGACGCTCAGTAAGTTGTAGCCGAGTCCCTCCGCGATTAATACCTTTGACATCTGCAGTATAACGTTTGTCTCCCTTGACTGAAGTTGAACCACGCCTTGTCGTCGTGTGCGCAGGTTCTGATTGTTGGCGACGGTAATGACGACTTCGCGTTGAAGTTGGTGCTCGCGCTGAATGAAACGTCCCGAAGAGCACATGTGCTGTCCGCAGCAACTATCCAAGAACCAAGTATCTTTCCCGGACGGCTCACTTTGGGCAATGGCTGCGTATGTCGGGTTCGGCTCCAGTGTCTCGCGGCGCGGCGTGCTTTCGTTAAGAAGTTCTTCGGGTGAGTATGTTGGTGGTGATTCGGTGATGCAAGAGTCGGAGAGTCTTGCCATACAACTGACGATATTTCTTGCTCCTTGTGCAGGTTGTCCCGTTGATGTTGTTTGAACTTGAGCGGTGGGGTTCGCTTGTGTTGAAGCGACTTGGCTGCTTGAAGGTCGAAGCTGTCGCTGTGGCGGTGTTGACTGTTGTCGAGTCGGGCAGTGTGTGCGCGGATGTCCTGACGTCTTGCAGAGATGGCAGAACGGAGGTACAAACTTTGGTTGATGTCGGCTGTTGTTGTTGTTGTAGCGTCGCTGAGTGTGGAACGCAAATTCGGGAACTGACGTTTTCTTCTTGTGCCGCTCCTCTTGCAGGTCCATGTCTTGCTGTTCGGCGTGAATTTCGGCGCAGAGTGCTGCTTCGGTGATCTTCCCGTGAGCTCGGAGTATGGCGCGAGTGGAGCGCCAGTGTGGACCAAGACCGCCGATAACAACTGTGACGAAGGCGTCTTCTGATATCGATCCTCCACATCGAAGGAGTTTGTCGCGCAATTCGCGGCAGCGACTAATATACGCCATCCCTTTTTCGCCCGGTTTCATTTCTACTGTTGTCAGTTGCGCCATTAACCGACTCTGGTTGACGCTGTCTGTTGCTTGATACAGGTTCTTCAGGTGGTTGTACGCGAGTTCGGCGGAGTTGCCGTACCCTCGATAAGACCGGATGTTCTGCTGTTGGGTTGGCGTGACGTTGCGTAGTAGAATTGTGTATGCCATCATTGACTGATAGGTGTACTGCTGCTTGTCATATTGTGTCCCGTGTGTTGGATATGGCAGGGACCCGTCGAAGAAGCCAAGAATCTGCGCACCCTCCATCATCAGCTCGAATTCGAATGACCAGGTGAAGAAGTCCTTTCCGTCGAACACACTTGATGTCTGCAGTTTCAGGACATGTGCAAACTGCGACTGAACTTGAAGTGCGTCCAATGTCTTCTCTTGCTCAGGTGAAGTCTGCTGGCGCGGCATGAAGCTGACTGAACCACGCTGAGGTTCATACGGGGCAAAGGTAGGTTGCTGCTGGTTTCCGCGCGCATAGGATGAACCATCAAGACTCATGGGCGTGACGTCCTTGTTGTTGTTGCTAATGTTTGACTGTGCAGGTGCCCCTTGTTGGTGTTGTTCGTAGAAGGACATGAAGGAGAAGAATTTCTCCATCATGCTTGGGTCAAAGCCCGCGGCCTAATTCGCGGGAGTTTCGGTATACGTTGCCCTTGGTCTTGTTGTCGTACCCTCCTCTGTCTGTAGGCCAGAGGCAGGAGGTGGAGTAGGAGTAGTACCGGGAGAGCCGTTAGAGGAGCTTCTCTCCTTCTGCGTTGCCATGCCTTGTGACGTTGTGGGTGTCTTGATTGTAGTTGAATTTGTCCTGATAGCTCTCATACCATGTTGGGCTGAGAAAAAGCCCTTAGGATCTTTGCAGGACTAAACTCTGAATAGGAATGATATAATAGCGGAAGCGTTTAATGATAAGTCTGTGAACCACCTTGCGCTAGTATGTGAGGGCAAAGTAGATTGATTAAGGTAAGGAGATACAAGATTATTTGAGTACAAGGAATACGAAGAGATACGGTTGCAACTACTTTACTGTTGCTGTTGCGGTTCGATACAGTGACGACTCGGGCAACTGCTCTGTAGCGAGTCAGTTGTGTGTCCTTGCTGTCGCGCTGTACTTGTCAGGTCAAAGGTCGCTGACCTTTGACTTTCGCGTAACCTCCAGCAACTGCTCAACCTTCGAGGGTTGACTCGCCAGTGCTTCGATATGCTTTTCTTCGCTTCTGACTTGGTGTTTCGACACGACAGAGGCGCTTAGAATTAATTGTTTCCAACAATTTGATGTTTTCCTGTCCATGGACCACATATGTATTAATTCACACATCAGCTACTGCACGTTCCTTCACTACAATCACAGTTATTGAACCTTTGGACCTTCTGTTGATGCTGTACCTGATTACAGTACTAACCTTCGATTGGGGTTCCCAGCCTCACAACCAGGGCCTATGTTATCAGGATAATTTATCCTGATTCTCCTGAATTCAGGATAGGTGTCGTGTGCTTCTCCTGAGAAAACAGCATAAGGGAATTACTTGTCCTGTAAAATCAGTATAATGGTTATTTTGCGTACTGAAAACCCAGGATAACGTTGTAGGTTCAGCCCTGACGACTCAGGATAGTGTCCAATCTCGCCCTGAAGCGAGATGTACAGTACGAAAAATCTCCAGGGTTTCGGGGACTTAAAGCTGCGGTCTACATACTAAGTGGTGTTTTTTGGGTATGTAGACCGCAGCTTTAAAATCACGCGCGAGCACCTCAAAGATAGTAGCCAGCGGGAACCGAACAGGCGACCTAATGTGTAACAGACCGTCGCTTCACCCGCTACGACACTTCATGCAGAAAAGTAAGAGAACAAATATACGAGTTGATACTTTTTGTCCGCCACTTCACTTTTGCCAACCAATTTGGCCCACGATGTCCACCGCCACCTTCGCCATCTGCTTGTACTGTGCTGGAACAGTTTCGCGCCATGCAGCTGCCAGCGACTTGCACTGCCAGCCACTTGCAGCTGCACCCCAGCATTTACACACTTCGTTCGAATGTGGAGAGCATTTCTATCCCCGCTAACATAACACGCCCGAAACAGGATTGTACGAAATGTAGCACTGAGCTGCCAGGATACTGTCAAATATAGCACTGACATTTCAGGATACCTCACCCTGTGCAGCCCTGACAATTCAGGGCAAATTCTGATTTTCTAAAAACTGCCCTGAGGCCTCAGTGTACCCCCAAACGAATCTGAGGGCCTGCTCACAACACCACACTAGTAACCTGGCAGGAGACCACTATTCACTCGAGGAAGGGCAGCCTTCAGCCACACCTGCAGATCCTCCTGATTCGTTCGGATGTACGACAGCCAAGGCAGGCTCTTCAGCCACTTCACTCCGTCTTCGGTGACTGCAGATGCAGTCATGTCCAAATGCTGCAAGGCCGTCAAGTGCCTCAGATGCTCCAAGCCAGAATCTGTCATCCGAGTAGGCAGTGCAAGCAGCTTCAGATTGGTGAGCGACGTCAAGTGCTGCAAACCGTCACCACCTGTATTTACATTCCCCAGAAACAGACTCTCAAGGCCTGTAAGTTTTCCCAAATGAACCATGCCAGCAGCTGTAACTCCCTGGCAGCAATTAAGCTCTAGGATCTTGAGTGGGAGCCCTGTCAACAGCTGCAGACCAGCATCCGTCACTTTGCTGTTGGTGAGAGAAAGATTCTGAAGTTTGGTCACTGCCCCAATGCCTTCCAAATGATGGTCATAAACAGCCATTGTCCGAAGAGATAACCGCTGCAGATGTGGAAGCTTGTAGAGGTGCTTCATGCCCTCTGCAGTGAAGCCAGAGGACTTGTCCAGATCGATTGATGTCAGGCCAGCCATGGCAGACACATGGCAAAGGGCAGTGTCTGAGATGCTCGAGAGATTCTTCAACTCCAATGTTGTCCGAAAAGGCGAATTTCTACTCCACGCCAACAGTATTGCCTGAAGACAATAAAACCACTAAGTGTGAGATTCACACACGTCACAATTTCAGGGACCAAGTATGTTGTAGTTTTGCACAACACATTGCAACCGGGAGAAAGGTAGTGACACAAAAAGCAGTTGTAACTCACCTCCCATGTTTGTTTGCTTTCCTCCCCGCAGTGCTCAAGGGACTTTTCAAGCTTTGAAACGCACTTCGTGTACTCCGCCACCTCCATCTTTGATCCTGCCAGTTCCTTTTTCACTTCTTCAAATGTGTTTTTGCATTCCTGCTCGCAGTGTGAGAAAGACTCCTCAAGCTTCAATGCGTGCTGCCTGTGTTCACCCATCTCCCTCTCTGTTCCTGCTAGCTGACTCTTCACTTCTGCCAATTCCCTTCTTAACGCTTCCCCTGTCACCACCAACTAGAGATTAGACGGGAGGAAGAAGAAGGGACAGGGAGGAGGAAGTAGGGACAGGCTGAGGTGCAGAGGACTGTGGCATGACATGGCAACTCAATTGAGAGAATGAAGGGGTGAGGGGGAGAAGGAAAGGGTGTGAAAGGGTTGTTGGGAGTGCTGGGCTCGAAGGCAGCCTACCATGAACGATGTGGCTGACATCCTCAGCTTTGTCAACCAAGGTTTCACGGCCAAGCCCTGTTGATGCAACCACGCTCTGGCTTGTGCGAGAGAAACACCCATGCACCAGAGCAGCAGTACCACAAAGGCTATAACCGAATAGAGCATGTGAGCCTGTGAATGGGACATGGTGGAAAAAAACGGGCACAATTCGCATATGACAGATGCATTAAGAGAAACGCAGCACTGGTTCAGCCAGCAAGCAGTGGCAAGAGACAGCTTAAATGGCATGCTGTGTGGTCCTCCGGGTCATGCTAACGAGGTTAGGCTAAACCCCCATTTGCGCTTACTTACCCAAGTGTAGAGCACGCGAATGGACATGTTGAGTGACTGAGCATGCTGAATCTGGGAAATGAGAAAACATCACACCAACAAAAGGCTTTAGGGATTCAGTCAATTTGGTGAATAGACATACACTCACGGAGCAAGGCAGAAAAAGAGGCTTGCACGGAGCGTCAGGTGCATCCATGATGTGAGCAGCATATCACATTCTTAATACATGCTCTGATTGCCATACCATGTTGTTGTTCATGGAGGAAAGACCTTCGCTGAGGGGAACAGTCATGAACATTGTCACAACAGCAGTCACCATGACTATGGGCAGAGATGCTGCCGCCATCACCACTTCATCAACCATCCAAGCCATGTTCCTTGAAGAGTCTTCCAAGCTTAGCGCATGCAGGAAAAGTGGGGGGGGGGGGAGGGGGAGAGAATGGGAGCGGGAAAAGTTGGATGCTCGTTCAACTCACTGCACATATATGATGGGAGAAACTGGAGGAAGAAACAAAGGATGCATCATGGCATGCGTGTGTGCACTTCACTGGCGCATGGATGTGGATGTGGTGCACGAGAAAGAGAACACACAAGTCAGTATGACAGCAAGAGAAGCATAAAAGATATGGACGTGAGGCGAGGCGAGTTGCATGGACGTCAGAGGAGTAATGCTCGTGGTGAGAGGCAGACGCGGATGGACGTCGCAACACAGAAGGGACTCACTGGGTGTGGACGTGCCACCCACGTGAGAGATGGGAGCACAAACTGCACGTAGGCACTTCACTACCGAGCGTAGCAGATCTTCTCTCGAGAGCAGGCAGGATGTCGGCGAGATTGAGATGAATGGTTGAGCTTTACTTCGGAGAAAGTGGGCGGAGCAATATCAGAGCTCGATCCTTTCTCGCAAAACCTTATCCAATAAATCATCAGCCTCATCCTTTGCCTTGCCTCTCTACAGCTGCACCCATCATCCCCGCCGTTCATTGCGTTTCACCGATTCTAGCCATTTGAAACATGCATGCACTTGGGGTCGTTGCGATTCCCATTGGGATCCCATCATCGGCTCTCTCTCGCCTTGCGCCTGCCCTTCACGGACCCATCATGTGCCTCCTGCCTGCCGTGCGCTGCTCCGCAGACTCGAGTTTCGAGATTGCGGACGTAGCCTATTTGTGCGATGAGCTCCCGTGACTGTCTAGCCTATAGGAGAGGTCCGATTGCATGATGGTTCTCACAGCGAGACCTGTCGACATCGAAATTAGTTCTGGGGAGTGAATCTACGGTAAGGTGGCCCTCGTTTCGTTAGATCCTCGCGGTGTCATTCACTGCGAAACCAGCGCGCGAGTCGCTTTTGACTTCAGTCCCCGGGTCGCTACACAAGTGAACCACTACGCACGTTAACCGATTGGTGAGCTCTCGTGGCTTATGAGAGAAGCTTGATCGCATGATGCTTGGTCAGAGCGACAGCTGGCTTTAGACGAAGATTAGTTTTTGGTAGTGAGCAATCTATGGTCTGGCTCGGTGGTCTCGTTTCGTCAGGCCCTCGTGCGTTTCTCTGTGCGGATCGTAAGTCAGTCGCAGGATCGCTGGAGAAGTGAACCATTTCGCAATCGTTACCAACATGTCTCGAGAGCACCAGGAACATTTGTGGAACTGGATTCGCGAGAGTATCCTGGCGAGAATTTCTTGACTTCGCTGCGACGTACAACGACCTAGAATACGAGGCTGGTTACCAGAAGTAAACCGCAATGTTTGCGGAACAATGAAAACGCCCGAGACCTGCACAGCCAATTTCTTCCGTCAGCCATGGTTTTCTCAATCGTTTCATTCATGCCTCGTTCTTGTCCGTTGGAACCGCTCTCCCACCACGTCGCCAAATCGAGTCCCGCCGTGACCTCAATACACGACGACGCAATGCACGGCGCGTTCGCGGCAGGCGTGGGATTGGCGGGTATTTTGAGAGCAGCGAACGATCTTTGCGAAGCACAGAGTGGCGGCGAGTGATGGAATTGGACTGCATGCGATCGGCGGGATTGACACATCGTACGGCTGTTTGGGCGAGTTCGTGCGCGAAATTACGGCAGCATATGCTGTGTGAAACACGCGGATGCGCGAAATCAGCCTGTTAGGGTTAGCTCGGCATGGCATTTTCCGATTTCTCATTCGCAGCTCATTCGTCGTCAATACAGGCACAAATGAATCGGTATGCCGCAATGCATTCTCTTCTCGGTCCCCTCTTGTATCCGTCGTTCCCGTTTCGTACGTTTATCATCCTGGTTTCGATTTCTTCTGTCCCCTCTGTCAGTTTCGCCTCCTCCTTCCAACTGTGTTCCGTTTCCCTCGTTTCTCTGTCTTATTGTGTTCCCTTTTCCTCGCCTCCCTTTTTTTTCACCTCGCAAACTATCGGCTCGCCTTCACACCTCACTGCCCTTTTTGCCCAACGCCCATCCGTATACCTACCCCTAACCCCATCCCCTCCTTTCCCGCCCCTTCCCTCCCACCCCCCTTTTCCGCATTTATTTCCCATTGCCTTCCACTTCCGCAGCCTTGCCCCTTTCCCAAATCCTTTCTGTTTCCCAACTCCGTTTCCTTCCCTTCCCCTCCTCCTCCCCGTCCCCCTCACGCATCCCTATTTCTCTTCTCAATTCCCACCCGTTTTCTGCCTGCGGCTGTTTCTTTTCATGATGGGCATGGCGTCAGCAGCCGTGGGGCTGCCCTCTGGTCTGAGGGCGAATGCTTGATGGGAATTGTTTTGAATAAACATGATCAACATTTGCAGGAATTTTCAAGCGCGAGTTCATGGCTGGCAGCACTGTAAGGAGTTGCAGTCACTTTGCTGGTGCCGAGGCTCTACGCACCAATCATTTGAGCTCAGGGCTCTCGGCAGAATGATGTACGTTGCTGGTTGTGACACTCTACACTCCCCTTGTTTGCTGAACTGACTGTGTTGCACTTTCACACTGCCTGCTGGTTAATGCCAACGTAGACTGTTTGACTGGGCAAATGTAATGGCAATCAAAGTAGGGCTGTAAAGCCTTACTACAGTGTTTCGTTCCACTATTCGCAGTCTGTGTTGTTCCCTTTTCTTATCGTCATGACACTCCCTTCTCTCTCCTGGTTTTGTTCTCTTCTCTCTCCTGGTTTTGTGCTCTTCTTTCTCCTGTGCTGTTCCCTCTTCTTATCGTATCACTCATTTTCTCTCTCCTGGTTTTGTGCTCTTCTCTCTCCTGGTTTTGTGCTCTTCTCTCTCCTGTCTGCTCTTCTTTCTCCTGGTTTTGTGCTCTTCTTTCTCCTGTGTCAATCTCTCTTCTTATCGTATCACTCATTTTTTCTCTTTGGTTGTGCGCTCTTCTTTCTCCTGCATCCAGCCGTTTCTGCCTTCGTTGTTCAATCGCAAACTTCTGGGAGTCAAGAGAGCATGCAAAATATCACCACACCCTCCTCCCACTCAATCGCTATCCCCAATTTGCCAAACGCATATCTATATCCTCACCCCCCCTTTCCCCTTCACTCCCCATTCACTTCCTTTTCCTCTTTTCACTTCCCATATCCATTTGCCCTTTCTTCTATCTCTTTTTCCCTCTCCCTTTCTCCTCTCCCTGCTAGGTTCTAGCGAGTTTTGTGCCTCCAGCACCGCTGGTTGGTTGGACCTGAACTTCTCCTCCCCCGGTCCCACCCCTCCCAACTCTTCCACTCTGACCCGCCCTCTCCTATTGTTTGCTGTCAGCAGAAGCAGAACTAGAAGAGATGCACTACATAGGGCATGACGATCAAGGCTGCAATGGACTTTCTTCGCCTGGGTCGTCCATTCTCACACCAGCGTGAGAGGCCTTTCTGATTGGGGGCCCATGTACGATGAGTGAATGTGCCGGTACACAACCGACTCGACTTGTCAACGGTGCCATGCCCAGGCATGGACTCAGATCGCAGTACTGCCAATCACTGATCCATGCCTCACAGCTCAACGCACTGTTCACACAATTGGGCCTGCTCGCTCACGTCCCACCTCATGTGAGACCTCTTCCCCACCCTGTAACTCACACCACACCACACTGCGTGCGAGTGCTACTCATGCCATCCACGCCGTTGCCGTAGTCATTATTTCTGAACCCTCGGCACCATGACTCACACACACCACTGTGATTAGCATGGGCACCACTTGCAGCTTTAGACTGCTGGGATGAACAGGCAGGACAGGAGGTGGATCATGGAGGGCATGTCATGTTGACGTGCTTGCAGGCCGATGGCAAGGGTCACGTTCAAAAGCATTACGGTAGTTTCTGAATAAGATGAAGGTGGTAAGAGACAGGTGAGACAACTGACAGATGTATCTTGAGGCACTTGCTCTAAAATTGTGGGTCAACCTTGGCAGAAGGGAATATTGGGTGGACCAAGGAGAGAATGCTTGCATGCAAGCCCCAAACTTGTTGCGCCTGACTGAATGTCAGGATCGTTCGAATATGGAAGGAAATATCAACAAATAATATACAAGGAGTTGAGTCCATAAGATCACTCTGCCCACAACTTTCTTTTCCACTAGCTGGCCACCTCTGGTTCAGTTCCCTTCCAAGCCTCTCCACAAACACAATCTATCCTGCTCTCACCACCGTTGTCCTCTTGCTTATCCTTTTTGCCTCCCTGCCAACCCACCTGCCCTGCCTATGAAACTGCAGAGCCCCTCATAGTTCAGTGAAGCACGGGGGCCATTCTTGTATTCTGGTGACCAGAGGAGCTTCAGCTTGGTGAGAGAGGTCAGCCGCTGCAGTCCATCCTCCTTCACTTGTGTGCCATATAAAATGAGTCTCTCGAGGCCTGTCAGCTTGCACACATGCATCATGCCAGCAGATGTGACAGCGCTGCAGAAGGGAAGACTGAGAGTCTGAAGCGAAGAGACGCCTGTCAGGTGCAGCAGGCCTGTGTCGGTCACATTGGAGCGGAGGAGACTGAGAGTCTGAAGGCTGCTCATCACACCAATGCCATCCAAGGCGTGGTCTATATCAACTATATTGTCACTAAGTGTTAGCTTTTTTAGCCGTGGCAGCCTGTACAGGTGCTTTATGCTGATTGCAGTGCAGCCAGATAATCCACCCAAGCTCACTGACTGCAGGTGTGTCATGGTTGACATGTAGTTGAGGGTAGCGTCTGAGAGGCAGGAGACGTCGCTCAGGTCCAGACTGGTCTCTTGAGATGCTGACTTGATTATCTGGATGGAATCCACAGTGAAAGAATTGTACGATTTGGAAAACAAGGGCACAAACGGCGTGAAAATACCAAGCAGAAACCGACCACTCACACTATTTGGCAATAGCACGTATTCAGAGTAGCTGCACTCACCTGCCATGCTTTCTTCACATCAGGCCCACACGTTTGAAGCTCCTCGAGAAGAGTTACCCTCACATCAAGCATCCTCTGCCGCTCCTCCTTGCGATCCAACTCCTCCTTGGCTCCTTGCCTGGTCAGAAAGCGTACCAACTTCTGCCTCCACCCTTGCTCCTCTTTCATCCTCTCCTCCCGTTCCTTCACCACTACACCTTTTACTCCGTGCTCACCCTCTCTCATGTCCGCTCTCAGCTGTCTCACGTCAGCTTCTCTTCTTCTCTCAGCCTCCTCCAAACCCTTCTTTGTCGCGTCCAGCTGCGCACGGAGCGCCTCATTTTGCCGCTTATGATCAGCCAACTCTCCTCTCAAAGCTGCCAGCTCACTCCCCCTCTCCTCCACCACAGCACGAGTCGCCTCATTCGTCTTCTGCAAAACGCCTAACGCTTCCCGTAAATCAGCCACTTCGACGCCAATAACTTTGTTTTCCGCCTCCAGCTCCAACGCTCGGTCACACTGCCAAAAAAGCTCTTCTCTCACGGCTGCCAATTCCCATTTCACTGCTGCCAATTCCCCCTTCACTCCAACCAATTCCCCTCTCACTATTCCAAACAACCCCTTTACTGACTCAACTAACTCATTCGCACAGCTTTCCACGGCCATTGTCGATTTAAGCTAAGTAGTATCAAAGAACGGATGTCTTCCAGAACGGCGGTTGGGAGGAATGCGACAGTCGACCGAGGATGGGTGTATGACAAGGATGGAAAAGCCGAGAAACAGATGGGAGAATTTCACGGAAAAAAAACGGGAGGAGTAACGCTGAGACACTTGGCAGTTGCTGAGCTGCGGCAAGGTGCCAAACGAAGCGAATGTTGGATGCGGAAACAAAAACTTTTTGAGACAGATTTTATTTCGTGTCGCTTACGTGCACATTCACTCGAAAGTGACGGGTATAACGACTTGGATGTGCCTTTTCAAACAAACTGTCACTTTCGTGAAAACGGAAAGGCGACTAGCGAGTGAGATCGGTAGGTGAGTCAGTGAGGGCAGAAATCAAGGGCATGGTGATTCGGGGTGTTTGGGTAAGAAGCGTGGCTTGCCACCGCAGCTTTGGTAGTCTACGCTGAAAGCGTCGAGGTATTGCCTGAAATCGTCGGACTTATGATGGTCTGTAAGCTGTGACCCTTGCAAAGCGGATGACCGTAACTAGGGAGCCGACAGGGAGCCGACAGCGAGCCGACAGGGAGCCGACAGACAGACTCATGCACCTGAAGTCATAATGTCCGCATACCCTATATTTTATATCTTCACAGACTCGTGTTTCCGCATCTCTCAAAGAGACTTCACCTGCTGATCTGCTGTGCATTCTCTGTGTCACTACCTCGTCTCTCACGATGAGGCTCTGTGCTACTACGATTAACATCCCATGATCCCATCCCACGATTCCAGTCGCAATTCGGGGCGCTCTGCAGCGAATTGAAGAAGCCGCAACACGGGTTGCGGTTTCAGAAGAAGCCAAACCGCTCAACCCAACCCAACCGATGTGCTGGATGATTGGTTTGGTTGCGTTGCGGGGCTGGGCTTCTGAAACCGCAACCGAGGTTGCGGTTTTCGCAATCGGTTGCAAAGGTTACACGCCTTGAGCTTCGCGCGACTCAGATTTCTGACAGGCGCTCCGAAACATGTCAGTCGCGACTTGGGAAGGCATCTTTCATTTGTAATAGCGGAACACCGTGTTGAAATTTGAAGATACTGTACGGTACAAACAAGTTTTACTGTGAACTGCAGAGGGGGAGTCTCACTGCATTCTAGGACTTCGTCAAGGGGCAATGGCTGCAGCAGCTAGTGTAGTGTTGCATGAGTGGCGTTGTTATTTGTGGTAGCATGTTTATTATAGGCACTGCAGGCATGGTTGAAACAATCACTACCGTACATGGAGTTATGATGGGAGGGAAACAATCACTACCGGTACGGTATGTTGTTGTATGCATTTGAGCTATGTTGCAGGCATTGGACAGATCTCCCTCAGATTAGATGCGTGCGAAGCTACAATGACGTTTCAGTAACGCAATCAAACTTTGGCTGAGAGCTGACTGGGGTTCAAATTAAAGCTCATCCCACGGGAGCAGTTCCAGGCAGGAAATCACTGCTCACCGCCACTCCAGGAAGAGCAGCATTCGCCCATCGCTGCAACCTCATTTTGTCTGTCCTGATGTGTGTCAGAGAGGGCAGATTGCTCAACCAGCGCACTCCACCTTCAGTCACTGCAGATCCCATCATATCCAGCTCCTGCAAGGCAGTCAAGAGCCTCACATGCTCCATGCCCTTATTCCCAACCCCAAGTGGCAGTACGAGCAGCTTCAGATTGATGAGAGACGACAAGTGCTGCAAGCCATCACCTGCTGTAGTTAAATTCCCCAAGAAAAGACTCTCAAGGCCCACGAGCCTCCCCACGTGCGCCATGCCAGCAGGTGTGACACTCTGGCAGCCATTAAGCTCCAGAGTCTTGAGTGGGAGCCCTGTCAACAGCTGCAGGCCAGCATAAGTCACTTTGGTGCAGCTAAGACAGACACTTTCAAGGCTGCTCAGTGCCCCAATCCCCTCCAAATGACCGTCAGAAACCGCCGTTTTTCGAAGTGAGAGGCGCTTCAGCTGTGGCAGCTTGTAGAGGTGCTTCATGCCCTCTGCACTGAAGCCTGAGGACTTATCCAGATCGATGGATGTCAGGTGGGTCATGGCAGACACAACGTGAAGGGCAGTGTCTGAGATGCTGGAGAGATTCTTCAGCTGAAGAGACGTACACCTTTCGGTTCTCCCATGAAGGGCTGACGAAATGACCTGCAGAAAAATCCACAGCAAAGGCAAACACGAAGGTATAATGAGATGCTGTAAAATCATCGCACCTTGAGGTGCTTACATTCAACATGTGGTTGTTCCCATTTCAGCCATAGCTTACATGTAACATGTGCATATTTGCATCCCAGCAGGCACAACTTACATCCAACATGTGTGTGCTTCCCCACTCGCCTCGCACAAGCGACACCAATGCTTCCTCCAGTGCACCTTCAGCCTTGAGCACACGGCTGGCGTGCTTAGCAACCTCCCCCCTTGCTGCTGCCAACTCCTCTGCATGCCCTTGGATCACGTTCCTACCATGTGCGTTTTCCCATCCCAGCGAATTGAACTTACATTCAGTGTGTGTGTGCTTCCCCAATCGCCCCGTACAAGTGAAACCAATGCTTCCTCCAGGGCACCTTCAACCTTGAGCACACGATTGGTCTGCTCAGCAACATCCCCCCTTGCTGCTGCTAGCTCCTTAGCTTGCAGTGTAATCAAGTTCCTGTGTTCAGCCAACTCCCTTCTGGCTGCTGCCAGCTGCTCCCTTAGCTCCTCCAGTTGCACGCCCAACTCACCCACTCCCACTAGCCGCCCAAGAGAGATTCCAACACTTTCGTACATGCTGTGTAGTGTGAACCTGCCATGCTCAAATGCACAAGACAGCAGTCAAGTGCACAGCACACCAATCAAGAAGCCGAGAGAAAACAAGCAGGAGAGAGGAACAAGGTTTTAAGAACCAGCAAATGCATATTAACATCATGCAGAGAATGGTTCGAACGTTACAAATTCTCCAAAGAGGTGGCAGCAAATGAATCAGTGAATAGAAATATAAAAAAGAAGGTTTCTAATACAATGTAATGAAGGAAAGAAGCAAAGCAGCTGGGTGAGGCCCTCACCTTGCATCGTCCAGAAGCTCATAAGCCTGTGGTGTGGCGAGGGGAGAGATGGCGAGGGAGCATCGGGGAGGAACAGAGGGCAGGATGAGTAATCAATGCGTTGGGACAGAGGAGGATGAGAGAGGGGTGGGGACCAGATCAGCAAAAAAGAGATAAGAAATTAAAGCTTGAGAAAGTGGGGGAGGAGTCTTAGGATCGTAAACACCTTAGTCGGCAATAGTCTACTTGCTATTGCTTATCGTGTTCTCCACGATCTCACGAATCCAACGATATGCGCAGCTCTGCTTGAAGTTGTCAATACACACTTCAGCAATTTTCAGAATCTGATTGGTTTCAATGTTGTGTTTTCCAGAATGAGTACAAGCAGTTTTATAGTCAAGCAAGACACAAAATGCGATTCGTAACTTCCCCAAGTAACCGCGTGCGCCTCGTTTCACCCCGAGTCGCACACGGAACCGAACCGAATGCACCGAACACTCCTCGAGTCCGATTCCAGCACCTTCTCGAACACGCCTCCAGCTCGAACCACAATTTCTCCCCGTCAATCTCATTCTCGATGCTTCTCCACTCTTCTCTCTCCATTTCTCTAGTTTCTTCCTGATTTCTCTCCCGCTTCTCACGCCGTAGCTTCCATTCTTCACCGTAGGCCGATTTCCACCGTTTTAGATCTAGAATCTCCCACGAGATCCATTCCGCCGCCATTCCGCATTTCACCGTAGGTTCCGTGGTTGGGCGAACCAACCCTAACAATCTCCCCTGTGGTTCGTCAACCACGAACACCACTCACACTGCTCCCCTGTTCCTCGTAGCCTTCACAGGGTCTAAGTCGCCTTCACACTCCCCTGCAGCTCCTGCACCTTGAACCTCTCCTTACGTGTCTTGAAGTTGAGCGCCTTGACATCCAATCCATGAAACATTTTCTTGAGCCTCTCGCTTCTCCTCGGCATCTCAACACTCAACACCTCTCGAGTCTCATACCCCTCAACGTGTTCCTCCTTTGAAAGCACTCGCCCCTTTGCAGTTGCATTCGCCTTTGATCCTTTCACCATGATGTCCCCTTTCACAGCGACTCCCACACACTTCGCATTTACTGCTTCATCTTCAACCACGATCGCTGCTGCAAAAGTGTTGACACCATCTCCATCTCCACCATTCACTGCTGCTGCCTCCATGGTGACTATCTCCTCTTCCTGCTTCTCTGCTGCCTCCACACTTGCTCCCGTATCATCCGTGTCCTCGCTCTTATCAGCCTCATTCGATAACTCCTCCAATTCTCCCAGCTCAGGATACTCTCGGTCCTCATAGAACTCATCTATGCCCTTCATCGCGACCAAGTTCATCTCATAGAACCCGTCACTGAAGTAACCATCAGCATACTTCTCCCACTTAGGACCAAACACAGTCACCTCACCACTGTCATAGAATATCTTGCACCCCAAGTCATCAAGCTGTGACTGACTGACCAAGTTCACCTTCAAATCCTCAACCAGCAGCACATTCTCCAGTCTCATCTCTCCATACGGACTCTGCAGCACCACGTCACCCTCTCCTGTCACTGGCAACTTCCCACCGTTACCTTGCAGTATATAATCCTCACTCGACTCCCTCACGTTCTCCATCCAATCTGACCTGAATGTCATGTGACGCGTGCATCCGCTGTCCATGAACCATGCCGTCTTCTCATGATCGTCCGTCTGCCGAACCTCCTTTGGTAAACGCACCACGTTCGCACGATGCGCTCCTCCAAGGATCATATCATCCTCGTTCGCTTCTGCTACATTCGCCTTAGCCGCCACATTCCTCTGCTGCGACGGACCCTTGTAGCTCCTGCTGTTCGGATTGGAGTAGCACTCTGCGGCACGATGTCCGTAGCGCCCACAATAATCACACTTGCCGCCAAAACCTCGTTTCTGTTGCCACTCTGCTCCCCCATTTTCTCCTTTCTCGTTCTCCACCGCTTTGCCCTTGTAGTTTCTGCTTCGCGGATTTTCGTAGCAGTTTATCGCCTTATGCCCCCTCTTTCCACACTGGTAGCACGCTCCAAACGCCTTCGTGGCATTCACCAAAGCCGGCCTTTCCTCGTCGAATTCCGTAGCTGCTAATGCCGCTTTCTTTTTCCTCATCTCCTTCACCGTCTCAAGCGATTGCAGGATCTCCTGCAGCTTCGTCAAACTCTCCGGCGGTTGGTACGTAAACATTCCAATGTCGGATTCCCATTCTTTAGGAAGGCCTTGGATGATATAGTCAATCATCTCGTGCTCCGTCTCCGCGGCTCCCATCACCCGCAAATCGTCGTTGTAGCTTTTCGCCCTGTTGATGTAGGTGATGATTTTCTCGCCTTTCTCCATGCTCAGCATCAGGAGTTGCTTCCGTATCGCCTTCTTGTTGACATCGTTCGTGCCCATGTACGTGGACTCCAGGTACTCCCACGCTTTCTGTGCAGAGTTCAGCTCCCCTGCAAACTGGTCCAAATCCACCGCGATTCCATCGGCAACTGAGTGACAAAGCTGAAAGAACGCTTGCTTACTTTGTTTTTTGAACGCCGCTATTTTCTCCTTCGTATCCGTCGGGGATGGCGCAACTCCCTCCATCGTCTCCTCGTCGGGACGGTAGTACGGCAAGAGGTCAACCTCCTCTGCCCTACGAATAAACTTCTTCCGCCACACGTTGTAGTTGCTCCCGTTGAAGCGCTGGGCTTCACTGAGCCCGATCGTCGGTTTCGCCACCAATCGGCCACTCGCAAGGGCCTCGAGAAGAGCCTTCAACTGCGGGTCTCCAAGACTTACACTGGAACCCGAACTCGCCTCGTCTCCCATAGCGTAGGCGTGAACGACTCCTCTTCTCCACTAATTTCACTTAGCGCACCAAGTGAATTCGCGACGATCGACGAGCCCGTTCGTTAAGCTCTGATACCAGTTCTTAGGATCGTAAACACCTTAGTCGGCAATAGTCTACTTGCTATTGCTTATCGTGTTCTCCACGATCTCACGAATCCAACGATATGCGCAGCTCTGCTTGAAGTTGTCAATACACACTTCAGCAATTTTCAGAATCTGATTGGTTTCAATGTTGTGTTTTCCAGAATGAGTACAAGCAGTTTTATAGTCAAGCAAGACACAAAATGCGATTCGTAACTTCCCCAAGTAACCGCGTGCGCCTCGTTTCACCCCGAGTCGCACACGGAACCGAACCGAATGCACCGAACACTCCTCGAGTCCGATTCCAGCACCTTCTCGAACACGCCTCCAGCTCGAACCACAATTTCTCCCCGTCAATCTCATTCTCGATGCTTCTCCACTCTTCTCTCTCCATTTCTCTAGTTTCTTCCTGATTTCTCTCCCGCTTCTCACGCCGTAGCTTCCATTCTTCAACCGTAGGCCGATTTCCACCGTTTTAGATCTAGAATCTCCCACGAGATCCATTCCGCCGCCATTCCGCATTTCACCGTAGGTTCCGTGGTTGGGCGAACCAACCCTAACAAGGAGAGGTACAGAGCTGAGAGACCCAAACAAAATACAGTAGCAGGCACCCCTAGGCAAGAAGTCAGGCATACCCATGATGTTATCAGCGCCCACAGCTCGGTCGTCACAGCAACTTTCTGCTTGTGAACCCAGGAGTTGAATTGCGGATACGAGACTCCCATAATCCATAGTAGTGCCACCAGCGCATTCAGCGCAACGTATCCAATGAAGACCTGCAGTTGAGGAAACAACTAAAAACGTTTGTTTTCGTTTGTATTGTTGTTATTACTATATATACACTGTAAAAACACGAGAAATTTTCACCGACTGACGAAACCAGGTTTTCAAGGGCTTACCAGAGTGCTAAGGAGGTGGAAGGGCGTGGTGAGGGTGTCGGCATGTTGGGAGGAAAAAGGCATTCCGGGGGGCTGAAGCTGAGGAAGGCGGGTGGCATCACGGCACACAGCAGAGCCGTTCACCTGAGAGTGTGCACAACGCATGAATGAATGCATGGTGGGAAAGAAGCATCAGCAGAAGTTTTATAACGGCTGGGCTCGTTCAGGTGGAAAGTCGAGCCTTTTTACTCAGCTGGACGTGGTCTTTGTGCGATCGAGTGCAAATGCTCAGCAAGATGGGGCAAAAGGAAGAATGCGTGGGTTTACCTGCAAGCATGCACGCAAATGTTTGAGAGTGGATTGGTGGCTTACACCAAGGGAGTGCAGATACGAGTGGAATTTAGTTGCAGGCAGCATGAGAGGATGGTCGGCCTGCAGTCCCCCGGTAACACCTGGCGGCTGCAAGAGGGCACACGGGGAGCACAGGTGCAAGCATGGCAAATGCAGGGCACACACAATGAAGATGTGGAATTACGTGATGTGATGCTGAATTGCGCATGAGGGCGACAACAGACATCACCAAAACAGCTAATAACGTCCATCGTTTGAATTCGTTGCTTACGTCCACGATGCCAGTGGTGGTGCGGTGTAAATGGCTTTGGAATGGGTTGATGAGAGAAGCAGTGGGAGCAGCGAGGACGAGAGGAACCAGCAGAGCACTCACGCTTACCACATGAGCCATGGGGTATGGCAAGCTGGAGACGGACAATTGGTATGGCTCTGTACGGAGGGAGTGCAGCAAGGGAGGGCAGCGAGGGAAGCAGCAGCAGCTGGAAAGAGGGGAGGTAGAAGGAGCAAGGGAGGAAGGAAGCAACAGCAGGAGCAGCAGCAGTACGAGTGGAAAGAGATGGGAGGCTGCGTGCACGGGGCAACGAGCAATACTTCAGAAGATTAGAGGATAAAGTCACAGGCATGAGCAACAGGGTGGAATGAAGCAGAAGAAACGACCGAGACAATTAAGCGGCCAAGGAAGCATGTAAAGGCGCAAGAAACGCCGGATGGCGAGACTAGTTTCCGCAAAGATTGGCAGCAGATGATGTGGGGGGGAAGGGGAGGCTTAAGGGCAGCCGGCAGGGCAAGATGGAAGTGTTGGGCACGGGCAGGGCAGCTGAGCTGACAACCGTCACAGAGAGGAACGGGTGGCGGCATTAGGCGGTAACGGAGAGGTGAGAGGCAAGGGCGATATAGAAGAACAGCGGGACGCACGTGATGATACACAAGGGAATGCGGTCAGAGCAGCAGGGGAGCAGCATGACGCATCTGTTACTCTGGTGCGCAGCGGTGAACGCAGGTGCACGGCGGTGAGAGCAGGTGTGGCGGCGGTGAGAGCAGGTGTGGCGGCGGTGGGTGGAGCATCGTACCTGGAGTGGCAAGTGGCAGCTGCGAGCAAGGTGCTTTGTCCAGAGGGCGCCGAACGGGAGAGATCAACCGAGGAAGGCGAGGGAGAGGCGAGGGAGAGGGGAGGCGACAAGAGTCGAAGGCAGAAGAGAGTTGGCCAGGAAGAGAACAGCATGGGGAATAATTTAACGTGCGGTTGGAAGCCGCTGGGGTTAAAAGGAGAGTGGCGAGGGAGACACGACGGGCCCGTCTCCCGTTCGGCGTGCGAGGGATGAGGTGGTGCGATTCGTGCGTTGCGGCTCCCACTCGGCGCACCCACGCATCTCCCGCCCTTCACGCACGGCTGCATCGCGGCTCCCGATCCCATCTCGCACGCGGCCTCGAGTCGCCTCCGACTCGGCCACTACCACAATTACGGCATCGTCGGAACAATTCTTTCTCAAGGAGGGGATGAAAGGGCGCGATACTACGTGCATCGTGGCGCCAACTCGCCGCACCCATCTCTCGCACACCGCCGCGCCCTTCTCTCACGGCATCGGGAATTTTGGGGGTCCCGCAATCGGTTGGGAAACCACTAGCTGGCGAGTGGGTTTCGGCTCCAGGCATTTGCCTGGTTTTGGCGATTGGTTTTCTATCCTAGTGGCATCTAGCCGCAGATTGGTTTCCGAGTGGGCGAATGACTGCCTGCCATACCTGTACAGATGGTTTGGAAACATTCGGCGAACACGCCGAGGACACCTGGCCGAAACACATTGGGCGCGAAAATATTTTGATTGGTTGCGCACTTTCATTTTGTTGAATGTCGCGACATCGTCGTGAACATCGAAAACTACACCAAACAATGGCAATGCTATCCTACAATCCAGATATGTTCGAACTGTGACAGTATCGCAGCAATAAATATTAATGATACTACACTTGCAAGAAATTTCGTTAAAGTAACACCCGATGAAATCAATGAGCGTAGATAAATATAGCAGTACAGTTGTTAGGTTTCAATAATACATACGACAGATATATACGAAAACATATATACAGCAGCTAATCTGATTCAAAATTTCCAGCTATATATTTGACCCGTTAGAAGAAAATATCAACAATGAAACACAATACATTAAAATAACAGTACAACTAAACGCAAAACCCAGCCGACACAACAAATACTAAACCTAACTAGTATTAAAACCGCTTCGTACTAAATTACTAAACTAGTACAAAAGCATCAACGCGAGCACGGAAACAAAGAATACAGTTCCAGAGCTGCACAATGCAGAAGATTGTAGCAGTAACAAACACCAACAGAACGAAAACAAGGTACGGTAAGTATAGAATAATGCAGGAAAACGAAAGCTTACCAGAGACATGCTAACCACAGCAGAACACAAATACCAGTCTGCCAAAACCTAAACGATACGCCATCCACGATCTGCCACAACATGGGGAAAAAAAACAGATTAATCTGAGCTCATCATAAATGGCACGATTGTCTGGAACGAAGCAAAAATAGAAGAATAGAACAACACATAATCGACTAAGCAGCGCACCTCATAGTTTCACACGATGACTTGCAGACCGCCTTCACGTCTGCTCCACACGTCGCCTGCATGTATCAACATCTGACAACAAAGAATCCAAAAGGTGACGGTGACAAGGTTAATGAATCCAAAAGCGATTTTAGAGGAGCATACGAGATGGCTTACCAGTGCCGAGATTAGAGAAGCTGCATCCAAAGCATCCTTGCACTGATGTCCTTGTTGTTGTTGTCGGCGGCGACCTAAAGCACTTCGACACTGCAGAAACTGAGGTGAGAAATAACACTAAGCGAATTGAAGTCGCGAACGTAACAAGTCGCGAATGTGAGGAGCTAAGCCTCAACCGTGAGAAGGAACGGGTGACGAACGAGTGAAGGAAGGAAAAAAAAACCGGTCACAAAAGTCACGTCTCTAACAGCTCGTCGATGAGAATGAAAGAGCTCGTGCTTGCTGCTGGAACAACGAGCTCAAGGTGACGACGAACAAGCAGGCACATGGAACCGGTAGCTGGATGCATGCACCTCACCTCACCTCACCAATGAGAGCCTCGCGACGAAACCTGCCACTGGCTTACAACGTGAGGTTTCGAAACCAGCAAGGCAACCGCCAACGTGGCGTCGAATGTTCTGATTCGGCCCTTCAGTGGCTCAGCAGTGAAAACGGAATTTCGATTGGTGTTCGCAACAGATAGGACATTCCACTTAGCAGCGCTGTCGCAGTTCTGAGCAACGATTGGTTACATTGGCATCTTAGCTTACTGAGGTATACAACGATATCCAGCTCGACAAATAGAATTGGCTCGCAAACTGCTGCCAGCTCGACAAATTTGGTATGTGTTACAGCTGTGCAGTTTCAAGACCCTCTTGTACACTATTGATCAAACCAGAGACCCACCAGATTAGAAGTAACATTTCGTCGAACATCTCTTTTCAAGAACCAGAAATAATGAGCACAAATGGTCCAAAATATAGGTGATATCTGACCATGCGCACAAAAATCCAACGCATGTGCGGTAATCACTATTTAGTTTCCATATTTTCAGAAATTCATCAACAAATTGATCAATTAAAACTCAATACTGCCCAGAATTTGGATAAACGTTTATGTACAAATATACATTTGAGTGAATTTTATCATCATACGTATACACGTTTGTACACATTATAACACGATGTATGCATGCTATTATCATCTCAGTCATTTACATTCACTCTGACCTGATGTCAACACTTCCGCTGCAGACATTACCATGCGATCAACCCTGAGCGATCCTTCGCTAAGTCCCATTTGGGATTGTAACATTCTTTTTACATCAATATGTTTCATAGATATTAAAATGCCTTGACCTCATTCCTAACATACGGAGCTCAAAATATATCACTCCAACAATTATATATTGTTGTTGTTGTTGTTGTTGTTGTTGCTGCTGCTGCTGCTGCTGCTGCTGTTGCTGTTGCTGTTGCTGTTGTTGTTGCTGTTGCTGTTGTTGTTGCTGTTGCTGTTGCTGTTGATGTTGCTGTTGCTGTTGCTGTTGCTGTTGCTGTTCTTCTTGTTCTTCTTGTTCTTCTTGTTCTTCTTGTTCTTTTTGTTGTGCTTGTTCTTCTTGTTCTTCTTGTTGTTCTTGTTTTTCTTGTTTTTGTTGTTGTTGTTGTTCTTGTTGTTGTTGTTGTTGTTGTTGTTGTTGTTGTTGTTGTTGTTGTTGTTGTTGTTGTTGTTGTTGTTGTTGTTGTTGTTGTTGTTGTTGTTGTTGTTGTTGTCGTTGTTGTTGTCGTTGTCGTTGTCGTTGTCGTTCTCGTTGTCGTTGTCGTTGTCGTCCGTGGTCATTGTCGTGCGTGGTCTAGGAACGGGAATGGAGTGTTGGCCCCGCCCTCGCTTGGGCGACGCCGACGTCTTGGTCGAGTGCACGGGAGAAGCAGCCGACTGTTCACAGTGAGGGAGCTGCTCGACGGGCTTCGTCGAGCTGCAGGGATCACTGTGTTGTTGCCGTCGACCAGGGGTGCTCGACGGCCTTCTTCTGCGGGGCAGGTCGACGAGGTAGCTGTCGACCTGCACAGGCCTGTCACGGGGCTGGAGCCGTCGACGAGGGAGCTCGACAGCTGCAGCTGACTGGGCTGGACGACGGGTGGGCCGTCGACCAGAATGAGCAGTTCGACGGGGAGGTCGACGGAGCAGTCCGTCGACCTGACAAATGAGCAGCGGTCGACGAGGGGAGCTCGGCGACAATAGCTGACAGTGCTGGTCGACGGAGGGGTCCGTCGACCAGGGTGTTGCTCGACGGAGCTGTGGTCGACCAGAGACACTTGGTGGTCGACCAGAGCCACTTGGTGGTGGACCGGAGCACCTGGTGGTCTCCAGGTCGACCATGTAACCTGCTCTGCGAGTTCTGCGGAGGCACGCGAATGTCGTCGAAATCGCGGCGACTTCGGGCTGGTATCCCGAAGTCGATGTGGCTCGTTAGGCGCAGACAACAGCCGACAGATGCACAACGATGCAAGTCGGGCCAATCGTCTGCGCGCACCTGCGAACGTGCGCACTGTTGCCATCTACGGGTGCAACGCTGGATAGCCGCTCTGCTGCAGCAATGGCACGTTGTCTACCTGCTGCGTTGGCATGTCGCCTTTCTGCAGTGCTGGCACGGCTCCTCTACGCAACGCTGGCAGGCGGTCGACCATGCGGTGCTGGCGGTCGACCAGGCTAGCTGCAGAGTTGCTAGGTGCCTGATGTAGTCATTCTTGTCATTGCTTGTTCAATCATTCTGCAATGTAATATTTGCCTAGTGGAAACTCTTGCCGATTTCTCCCGTGAACGTGCAAGCACTAAGGAACTAAGCAAAGCTACGATCACTCTTAGTAGTTCGTGCCAACCCCCCCCCCCCGTAGTATAGCTCACTGCTTTGTAAAGTGACTCTCCGCATGGTCGTTGTCGTTGGCGTTGTCGTGGCCGTTGGCGTTGTTGTTGTCGTTGTCGTTGTCGCGCGTTGTCGTTGTCGTTGTTGTAGTCGTTGTCGTTGGCGTTGTCGTTGTCGTTGTCGTTGTCGTTCGTGTTGTCGTTGTCGTTGTCCTTGTCGTTGATGTTCTTGTTGTTCTTCTTGTTGCTGTTCTTGTTGCTGTTGTTGCTGTTGTTGCTGTTGTTGCTGCTGTTGCTGCTGTTGCTGTTGTTGCTGTTGTTGCTGTTGCTGCTGCTGCTGCTGCTGCTGCTGCTGCTGCTGCTGCTGCTGCTGCTGCTGCTGCTGCTTCTGCTTCTACTGCTGCTGCTGCTGCTGTTGTTGTTGTTGTTGTTGTTGTTGTTGTTGTTGTTGTTGTTGTTGTTGTTGTTGTTGTTGTTGTTGTTGTTGTTGTTGTTGTTGTTGTTGTTTTTGTTTTTGTGTTTGTTTCTGTTTTTGTTTCTGTTATGGGATGGGAGTGTGTTATATCTTGTGCCAAATATAAAAAAAAACATAAATGCGTAATCCAAGTAAGGGATGGCCTATCTGCTGAAAATATATGACACGAACCATTATGATGCTTACAAGGAGATTCTATTCCAAGCTACAATGTTAACAAAATGTCATTACAATGATTATATTAAACGAAATGTACAAGTGAATAAACTGCAACAGTTTCAAACAATCTAATTCAGCTCCTCCCTGCTGGTTTCGTCGATGCAATCACAAGACCGGAGAAATATTTCGAAAACATTGCGTAATATTGTATTCCACGTTGTCATGTTTTAAACAATAACAAGATAACAGAACAATTGTCACATGAAAGGAAGTGTACAAGTAGCTAATTCAAAACTCCTTCAGGCAATCAATCTCAACTCCGTGCCTTCGTTTTCGAATCCCAAAATCTTGGGAACGATCAGCCCGATGATGGGTGCGCAAACTGTAGGGGCATTTCCAAAGCTCTGTCAAGCCGAAGGCTCGCCATCCGTGCCTCGAAATCAGTTCGGAGAACCCCCAAACC